CCTGCATTCCATAAATGTCAGTTCCCTTGTAGTCTTAGCATCTTTACTTTTTATAACAATAACGTAACACTTGCATGTTATAGACCAAATGTTTTTGTCTCCCCAAAAATCCATATGGTGAAACCCTAACCTTCAATATTTGGGGTTGAGGTCTTGGGAGGTCTTTAGGTTTGGAAGAAGTCATGAGGGTTGGGACCCTCATGATGGGATTAGTGTCTTTATATGAAAAGACACCAGCAAGATTGCTTTTGCTCTCTCTACCAAGTAAGGTCACAGTGGGAAGGCAGCAAGTCAGGAAAGAGAGTCCTCACCAGGAATGTCTTGGACTTCCCAGTCTCCAAATAAATATCTATTGTTTAAACCAGACTGTGGTATTTTGTTACAACAGCCTGGCTAACATATACATGATGGCATCTCATTTGTGTAACTTTCAGTCCTGGGAAAATGTATTTCTGGCTCGATTCCCATTTTATGGATGGCAAATTCAGGATGTTATGAAGCCCAACATCATAAGAAGGGGCCAGTGTCAGGATTAGAGTCCATGTTTCTAGTGTCGAACTCAGCATTATTCAATGATGCTGTGAATATAGAGGTATTAGGGTCATTAAGTAGGAAATGTCCGATTTCCTTAAGTACTAAGTTTGACACTCAATATCTCTGACATTTTCACTTTAACACCTTTGACACTTCTTTTATTTTTATTGCGAAGGTACAGCTTCATTCTTCCAAATGCATGCTTTTTGGCTTGTGTGATTATCTTTCAAATTTTCCAGAGCAATTTTTGTGAAATCATGTATATAAGTCAAAATTTTGTGTTATTTTTGAATGAGTTTCATGGTGAAACCAAGGCTACCTCAGACAGCTCGAAATATCAGTGAAGTGTTTGGGAAGGATGTGGCTAATGAACAACACAGTATGTCTGTGGTTCCAGGAGGTCTGTTTTGGTGATTTTAATCTTGACAATGTGCCACGTGGGTGACCTGAGACCAAGGTGGATAATGATGAGCTGAAAGCTGTAGTGGAAGTGAATCCATTTCAACCTATGCATGAATTAGCAACAAGGTCCAAAACTGAATATTTTCAGAAAAAAGCTAATGGTGTCTGTTGGGTGGTCCAGTTTGTTGATATTATCCACTACAGCTTCATGAAACCTGGTTGGTTGATTACAGAAGATGACTACTGGAACTAATTGGATGAAATGATGAAGATGCTTGAGATTAAGCAGCCGAGATCAATAGAGACAGGCCAATCCTCTTCCAAGACAATGCTTGACCACAAGTAGCACAAACAATACTGCTCAAACTACAGAAGCTGGACTTGGAGACTCTATCATCTACCGTATTCATTAGACCTTGCACCAACTGACAACCATTTCTTCCAGGCTTTGGACCACTTCTTGCAAGGAAAAATTTCAGTTGTCAACAAGCTGTGGAAAAATGCCTTTCGCAATTTCATTGCCACTTGCTCTCCAGGGTTCTTCGCTGCTGGCATAAGCAAGCTACTGTTAAGATGGCAAAACCATGTCGATAGTTTAGGCACATACTTTGATAAATTGTACTGCTTCTTATTTGAGATACAATAAAGTAAACTTTTGATTTGAAATCAGACATTCCATATTTAATGACCTAATATAAAAATGGGGGCTATAATGTCAGAACTGGAGACAGTGTGGGGTTTAATCTTACTGTTTCTAATCTGGTTTCTTATTTGGGTGACAGCTAGCTATCTGTATATTTATGTTTTTAATTTTATATATAGTTAGGATCATTTCTGTTTGTATTCAATTTTAGGGTTTGCTTTTTATATCCTTTGTGACTTATTTTTGAATATGTAAACTCTTGACATGATTCAAAAGTCAAAACTATTAAGATGTACTCATAGAAATCTCATTGTTCCCAAAACCCCCTTCACTCCATTCCCACCACCTTCTACAGATAATCATTTCCATTAGTTTTGGGTTTGTCCTACCATTTTTTTATAAAGTAAACAAATATGTGTACATATTTTCCCATTTTTCTTTTAGAAGGCAGCACCCTCTATAACCTCTTCAATACTTTAATGTATAACGTGCAACCTGCATGTTGCTTCTTTCTTCTCTCCATACCATATTCCCACTTTTCAGAGATTCCCCTGTTTCTGCTTAGCCTTCTGTCCTGCCAGACTCCCCTCGAAGAGTTCTGAGTGGACGATGGCAGCAGGTTGGAAGCCATGTGTGATCTCATTGCTCTGCTGTCTCCAGGTGCTCAGGGTGTTCTAATGTGGTCCAGATTAGAGCCTCAAGCTCGATGTGCCAGCATTGGTTTCTCATTTGGAAGCCTGGGTTGACTCTTCGCTTTGATGCAGCTTTGCAAATTCAGGGCTGTCTTGTTAGGGGGGCTGGAAAGAAAGGTTTGTTACCACAATCCTCTCAATTAGGGTATTTTTATATGCTGTGCCTTCTAGCATCATGGTAGGGGAGAATGACACACACAATGTTTCTCTTTTAACAAGACATGGCTTCCAGAGGGGGCTGCAAGTTTATGTTTGGTTATACATTTAACATACACATTTAACAGTTGGCTGAAATTACCCACTAGGAATACCTTGAATGACAGTGCCACTCCTGTTAGAGTCAGGCGAGGCAGATCCTGCTGGAAAACCCACTTGGAGATACAGAAAAGCAGATGGGCTGAATTAAGCTTTTAACTTTATGACCCCGTTGCTTACAAAAGTGGTCTTCTACTGATTGCTCTTTGCACCAACTGTATGAAGTCTCTCAAATTTCACTTGTTTTCTCCATAACAGAATTTATCAATTAGGTAATAAAACAAAGATTCTTTCCAGGCTCTGAGTACCATCTTGGCAGAGGGACCAGAACTGTGGCAAGAGTGGCCTCCTCAAAGGGGCTTTGTTAATGCCTGGGGGAGAAGTACAAGGTTAGGATGGCTGTGCTAGAAAGGGGCTGCTTTAATAGATTGGAAAATGCCATGCAAAAGCACAGTCCTTTTCCCCAAAGGGCTCTTGGGGAGAAAATCATAAACACAAGGCTTTGGAGCAGGCTCCCTGGGAAACTATTTATTGCTATAGCTTCATGGCTTGGCTTTGGAATCCTGTCTCCAGCACAGCTCTAGTTCCAGTTTGTTCTGCCCTGCCTGAGCAATTAGGTCACATCCCCACCAGGGTGTTGGACACTCAGATAACTTTGAGAGACAAAGACCAGCAGGCTATTAGTACAAGTCTCTCTTGGTGTCCTATGTACAGAACCCATTCCCTTCAGCAATGCATTTGGAGTTGTGCCAGAGTCACCATAGACCTGTTTCAAAAATGTCTATTCTTCAACAGGGAACCAGTTAAACGTTGGGTCCTAAGCTGAAAGGGTCTTATAATATCATACTTCATCAAGATTTCCCTGGGCATCACTTCTAGCATCTTCTTCATCTACAAAAGCAACTTTTCCTGGAGATTGTCAGATGAACATGGGGAAAAGCTCATCTCCAGGCTTCCCTGTGCAGAGGCTGCAAATGAGGGAGGGGAGGGATGGTGCCAGGAATTCTCATCTTTGTTCTAGATAAGGGTTGGGGTGGTTGGTCTATAAACTGACCCCACGCCCACTTTCTCCAGTTCTCTGACATCTTCAGTGCCCTGGGATGTGGGACTGGGATTCAATGACAAAAGGTAGTGGGAGAAAGAGGGAGAGAAACTAAAGTTTGTCCCGTGCCTCCTATGTGCTGGGTAATATACATGCTTTGTGAAATAACCCTGTAAGTTAATTCATCTTCTCTGCATTCTACAGAAGAGGCAGCCGGGCCTCCGTCATACTGGATGGCTTGCCCAAAGTCCCGCAGAGAGGGGAAGGGTGGAGCCAGGACTTGAACCTACGCTTGCCAGCGCTTTCCAGTAAATTACACTGATACCGCTCACTGGTGTCGGCAATAAAGGATCCCTATAGAGGAGAAAAACGGGTTGGGAGGAAATAGGACAATGCCCAACGCTGGGAGTAGAGGCAATGAAAGATATCCTCACTCCTTCCCTCTCTATTCTCTGTCCATTGTCATGGGATTAGAGGGTGGGAGAGCAGGAGATGGGTCGGCATGCTGTGGGGAGAAGTGAATTGATGGCAAATCAAGGACAGCGGAAGGATGATACTCTGAGAATCTGGGGAGAGTGTCAAAAGGCAGTGATCGTTTTCATTCTCTTCTCTTCTCAGAGGTAGGACTTAAGACTACGATGCATTCAGCTTAAAAGATTTTGACTCTTGATGACTAAGCATAGTGGTTCTGTAAGTTTCTGGTCTCAGGATCCTTTTGCCTCATAAAAATGATTGAGGAATCTTAAGTGGTTTTGTTTGGGTCATGTTTACTGATACTTACTAAGGTAGAAATTAGAGAAAAATTTATTAGTTTACTTGATAGTAATAATAGTATACTGCTGCATGTTCAACAACATGTTTTAATTAAGAAGGACTATGTTTTCCAAAACAAGATATGTAATGGCCAGGAGAGGCATTTTGTTTTTCATTCTTGCAAATCCCTTTCACGTGTGGCTTAATAGAAGACAATGGCATCGTTACATTTGCTCTTGTGTTCAGTCTGTTGCAATGTACAGTGTCGGCTGAAGTATATTTGGTACAAGCTTTACGTAGAAATGTAGTTGGAAAGGGAATACTTTTCTCTTTTCAGATAACTGTTATTGTTCTTTGATACTTCGTCAATGCTCAAGTGGTAGTTTCTTAAAGGTTAGTGCAATGCAGAATGTGAAACTGTATCAATGAACTTGTGCCCTGTGGAAGTGAAATCTATTGGTCTGTCTTGCACTTTGTATATATATCTCTATTCGTGCATAATTTTATAATTTTTCTGCATAGGTAATTGGGAAGATGTTAGTTCGCCGAGTCGTGCATATCTTCCAAATGTTGATTGTTTTTATTTTTAAAAAATCACATTCATTAATCACTAACCTCATCTGAAAAGTCACTAAGTATTGGAAAGCTGTCAAGCTTATAATAGTAGACATAGGCCTCCCACCATGGCTCTGAAGAGAATCCACAGGGAGTTGAATGACCTGGCACGGGATCCCCCAGCAGTGTTCAGCAGGTCCTGTTGACGATGATATGTTCCATTGGCAAGCTACAATAATGGGACTGAATGACAGTCCATATCAGGGTGGAGTATTTTTCTTGACAATTCATTTCCCAACAGATTACCCCTTCAAACCACCTAAGGTTGCATTTACAACAAGAATTTATCATCCAAATATTAACAGTAATGGCAGCGTTTGTCTTGATATTCTACGGTCACAGTGGTCTCCAGCACTAACTATTTCAAAAGTACTCTTGTCCATCTGTTCTCTATTGTGTGATCCCAATCCAGATGATCCTTTAGTGCCTGAGATTGCTCGGATCTACAAAACAGAGAAAAGTACAACAGAATAGCTCGGGAATGGACTCAGAAGTATGCGATGTAATTAAAGAAATTATTGGATAACCTCTACAAATAAAGATAGGGGAACTCTGAAAAAAAAAATAGTAGACATAAGTGCAGTTCTGCAGAGGAGAGATTCTTTTGTTACGTTTACAGATAAAATTTTAATTCATTAAGTTACCATGCTTTGGAAAGTGGCTGTATCATGATTTCATTAACCAACTCTTCGTCCATCAGGTGGTCAGTAAATGCCAAATGTACAAGCTTTATTAAAGTGTCAGTTATTCTGTTCACTTGCCAGCCGATGCTCTAGACACTGAATCTCACAATGACACTACAGGTTAACTGACCCCCAAATACTCAACAATGTTCTGTGGAATAAGACACATTGGGTAAACTATCTTCTATAAAACCAAGGAAAATATAGCTTTGGCCACATTATTTCTCATGTACAGTTTTGTCCAGTTCCTTTGGAGCAGTTTCTTCCTTTCTGTGAGTTGGAGAATACTCTGATATGTCAGTTTTATCTTTTTCATCATTTTACAGACAGTGCAGCT